CTTTTCACATACATAGGCTGTAACTACCTCCCAGCATCAACTGATTTGTGTCTTCAAACTGACTAACCAGTAAGCTTAACTTTTCAGCTGAAAAACAGTGACAGATGGTCTGTAAACACTGATCTTCTTGGAAGTCTTCAGCAATTTCACAGCTATTAGAAGGGAAGTTTACAAATCAGAAGTTAGTTGGAGGTAAGAGAAAGAGGCAGGATGGACAGAACCTTGGAAAATAGTATCAGAATTCAAAGTGACCCTATTAAATTGGAGAAGCAGCTAGAAGCAAACAGAATAGACTTAGGCAAAGACAAGTGAAATGCAGTGCAGCTACAGAGAAAAGACAAAAGTAACTGTGCACATAAAAGATGAAGGTAGACAGGTTCTGTGCAGGTTTTTAGGAAAAGATCTAGGCATTGGCAACAAGCAGGTTTTTTTAGCACAGACGGTGCTACCTTTAAAAAGTATAACTGAAATGCCTAAATGTGAGTGGGTACTGTAGGAAACACTTTCTAGGAAAATTGCTCTTGTTTGGCATGCCAACAGGAAAAATGGCCTCTTGAGGTCACAGCAAGCTGTGAGTGTCCATTAAAAATTATTAACTTCTTACACTAGGTGAATCAAATGAGGGATAATTGTTCAGTTATTCAGACATCTCCCTCATTCTTTCAAACTAGCAAACTCATAGAGCTTACCCATAACCTTACATTCTTTGCAAAACATTAATCACCAAACTTTACATCCTGCTCTGTAGTTCCTGTGACTGAGCCCTCACTTGTGTTATAACTCTCCACTTTCAGGACTAAATCAGTTTCAGTGACACTAATTATGTTAGTTTTAAATGGTATATGAAGTATAAAGATGAGCAATAGTTAAAAAGCAGCTTAATTTAAATAGTGATTCTTTTTCTATCAGGAAAAAATGTCCTTAATACCAAGGATAAAAAGAAAACTGACTTTATTTTTGTTTTAAATTGTTTTAATGTGTTTGTGTGATTTTAGATTTAATGGCAGGTAGATCTCCAATCATGTCACTCATTAGGGCTGTAGATTAGTAACAGATTCTGTGTTGCACCCGGATTTGAGGAAGCACCCTACCAAAGCCATGTGGCGGGGACTGAATATTGTTCCATTTCACCAACATTGTGTCATAATACAGCTGTATACCAATCCATTTCTGCTATTGTTGCTTGCCTTTCTAGCTCAGCAGGAATTGATGAGATAAATAAGTGAACTTTAAAATTCAGTCTTCCTATATTAGATTTCACTGATATAAGTGCTTTAAATTTAAAGTACATTCAAAAATTAGAAAAACACTAAGAAAAACTGAAAAGGAACTTTATGCTAAGAAAGCTAGAACCAGATTTTCTATACAAATTGTGATAGCTTTGTTAGAATTCCATTATGGAGCTCCATTTTTGTATGATTAAACTTTTTTTATTCTCACATTATTAGCTTTTTTGTAAACTGAACGCTAAACAGAAACCAAAATATTGAGTCACCTGCTTCTTGCTTATGCTTGATTCTTCCCAACTCAATTGTTTCCTTATTCTAACGTATAGATCATCTTTTTTTAAATTACATTCTTTTATCATTTATTTATTAGTTTTTGAATTCAGGTAAATTGACATATTAACATTATACTAGTTTCAGGTGTATAACAATTAAATACTTGTATATATTATGAAATGGTCACCACAATGAGTCTAGTTCACATTCATCACCATAAATAATTACAGTTTTTTTTTCTTCTGATGAGAACTTTTAAGCAGATCATCTTCTTTTACATCAGCAGGTAAAAAAAAGGAATATTTTCTTTTATAAGCTATATGAAGCCAGAGAAAAAAGTGACGAGCCATCTTTCCAGCCTACTGTTTGTTTTCCAGTTAGTTTAAATTACATAATGTGTAGGAATAAAAGGAATGTGTAGAGATGTACATATAAGTCCCAGACATAAAGATCTTACCCTTATTTGATCTATAAGGAAGTGTAAAGAGTTTGAGCAATTTTATATTTTTAAGGTTTTTACCCTAGTTCATTTTAAGTTGCTTACACCTTTCATTTTTTATTTAAATGCTTATTTAGAGTAACTTTAGAAGACAGCTACTTGTGTTAGAAGACTAACTTTCCTTTTTACTTGAGAAAAGGCTGCAATAATAAATATTAGGTAGCAGATACAATTTACAGGTAGTTTGCTTTCTAAAAATGTTGGGCAGACCAAATCCTGTCTCAAACAATTAATCTTAAATTTGTGTAACATCAACAATATCCATGTTTAAGATTAACAGTATTCCATTTCTTATCTGAAAGGCACCATAGCCAACTCTTTTTAGCTTTTCATACTAATATACCATGTATTTAATTCATCAATGGGAAACAATAATCTGATATGCCCATTATATGATAAATTGAAGATCTGTCATCTCACTGTGTAAAGACATCTAAATGTATATGAAGTACAATTTCAGCAAATATTCATCAAGCACACGGAAAACTTCTGTGTTAGTTCTATGCTAGTTCTTTGCAGAATGTGTAGGATGCAAACATATGGCTTATTTCCTGATAAAACTGAAACTTTCTAGCTCTAGAGATCAGACAAGCTTTATTGTCCTTTAAATCAATAGTTCACTTTCCCAATTTTGAGGTTAAAATATTTATTTGACTGGTAATTTACTATAAAACAAAGAGTTATGATTAAGAAAAAATTAAAACTGCCATGGCCAAGTTTTCCATTTTCATTTTTTTAACATTTCTATGAGTGACTGAATGTTCTTGTCATATTCATTCAATATAGATTACTTTTTATTTTGTTGTAGATTCACTTGCAGTTGTATGAAATGATACAGAGATTATGTACCTTTTACCCAGTTTCCCTCAATAATATCTTGTAAAACTGTACTACAGTGTTACAGCCAGGATATTGACATTGAAACAGTCCTCCAATTTTGTTCAGATTTCTTCTATTTTACTTGTATTTAATTGTATCTGTGTGTGTGTGTGTGTGTGTGTGTGTGTGTTTAGTTCACTGCAATTCTATCACAAGAGTAAGTTTGTGTATCCACGACCATAGCCAAGATACAGAGTCATTCCATCACCTCAAGGATGCCTCATGCTGCCCTTTTATTACCATACGCACCTCCCTCCCGTTTGCATTTTTAAACCCTGGCAACCACTAATCTATTCTCCATTTCTATAATTTTGTCATTTCAAGAATATATGTATTTATAGAATCATTCAGTTTTTGAATTGTCTCTTTTACCCAGTATAATTCTCTAGAAATTCATCCAGGTCATTATGTGTATTGATAGTTGTTCCTTTTTATTCCTGAGTAATATTCCATGGTATGGATGTGCCACAGATTGTTTAACTGTTCACCAGTTGAAGGACATCTGGGCTCTTTCCCATTACGGGCTATTACAAATAAAGCTGCCATGACCATTCATCTGTAGGTTTTTGTGTGAACATAAATTTCCAGTTCTCTGGGATAAATGTTCAAGAGTACAATTGCTGGGTGGTATGGTAATTGCACGTTTAGTTTTATAAGAAGCTGCCAAACTGTTTTTCAGAGGAGCTGTACTATTTTACATTCCTACCAGCAAAGTACGAGTGATCCAGTTTCTCTTCATCCATGCCAGCATTTTTGTCACCACCATTTTTAAGTGTGTAATGATATCTCATTATGGTTTTAACCTGTATTTTCCTAATGACTAATAACAGTTATTTTCTCATTATGAGCTTGTTTGCCACCTGTATACCCTCTTCCATAAAATGTGTGTTTATACCTTTGGCCCATTTTCTAATTGGATTGTTTTTGGTTTTGTTTCTTGTTGATTGTTTTTTACTGTTGACCTTTGGGAGTTGTCCAAAGTCCCATATATCCCAGATACTATTCCTTTGTTGGATTGCAAATATTTGTAAATTTGTTTGCAAGTATTTTCTCCTGTTCTATATATTTCTATTCTCTAATATATATATTTAAATTAATACATACCTGTGTTTTCAACCTATCCTTATATAATTTGTGTTTTTCTTTCTTCATTTTTCTTTTCTTTATCATCTAACACAAACATACATTCTGCCTATCATTTCCATACATGGCCTAATTATATTTAATAAAACTGTCATTCTCAATTTTTTGCTTTTTTGGTTAAATGACTCTTGAGGGTGGGAGGTTGTAAGCATACTGACAGTATGTTAGAGATTAAGTACATCTGTTCATAAAGAGATGAAAGAGTTTAACTTTGTTACTTTGCTATGCCAAAGTCCAAACAACCAGTTGGAAAATGGAAAATGGAATTATATGTATTGCTTGATACCATGAAGTTAATATTTTATTTAAAATATTTAAAAATAATATCCTTATGATTATTTTATCAGATTTGTAAGTTCACCTAATTAGTATGCTTACTATGGTGTACTAATAAGTGTGATTGCATTTTAGTTTATTTCAATTTAAAGAATTCTTCTTCATAGAATTTTAAGTAATGTCAAAATCTTCTGTTGTGTCAACAGCTGCTCTCCAAATGAGTGTTTTATCATAAATGTTGCCTTTTATTATTTCATTGAAAACAACCCAATGGTTTCCGTGATTGAGGGAATGTTTTGTTTAATTTTAACTTTTCTTTCTGTGTTTTAAACTTTTCTTTCAGCTTTTGTTTTGTGTTATATGTTTTGTTTATACGAAGACTATATTTTGCTTTTTTTTTAAATTTTTCATTTTTAGCAAGCATGGGAATATATTTTTGCTTACACTCTGGGAAAGAGAAGACCCTAAATGTGGCTTAATCAACATTGTAAATCATTTAATTTCTTTCCCATTGAGTTGGATACGTGCCTTGATGGAAACGTGTGCTTTAGTGGCATATATTTTTGAGTCTAACTAGCTGCCTGCCTGTAATCAGGACTATATCAACTGTTGTCATTCTAAATGTTTCCTTTCCTTTTTTTCAAACACATTTGCCTGATTGACCTTTTTTTTTTCTCTGTCTTTCTATGGGGCTGCTCCAGGAGCCATGGCTAATCATCTTATAAGCAATGCTCTGCTTCGTCCGCATGGTACTAACAATCCCTATAATACATTGCTTGGGGAACCGGCGGTCTGTAACAACCCTTCTGTCAGCATGTACAACGCACAAGGTGTGCTGGAGTTTATTTTAATTTTTTCAAGTGAGAGTCCCAGTTTATGTAGCTTTTGTGGCCACATTCTATTTTTCTTTCTTTCTTCCTGCCTTTTCTTTCTTTTGGAAGCAGATGCACAGACTCTTTTTGCCTTCCACCCCTCTTGGTGCTTTTATTTTCCATTTTCCTTAGGTTTTCCTTAGTAAGAAATGGATTCCTTCCTTCTGATAAACAAATGCTTGATTCATCAATATGTTTTTGTTTCTCTGTAATGTTGTAAAGTGTATTGTGGTTTGTCAGTACTTTTCTTGTTGTTGATTGATTTCTATATTAAATACCTATGTATTCATTTTAAGAAATGAGATATTTGCCTAAGGTAAGTAAGATAAAGGAAGACTTGGTTCAGCAATCTTAAGATCAAGAAAGTAATCTTACTCTGTTATACCATGAATCACACTCTAGGCACAAACATCACTACAGATGAAAGCACTTAGATCAACTCCATGGAAAACACTGAAATAAGCTGTGGTGGAAAGAACAGTGAATTGAACAGTAGCAGATCAGGTTCTACCATAGCTTGATATTGCCTCTATGAACTGGCTCAGGAAGGTCATGAAATGCTTTTTCTACTGTGACTGCATGTTAAAAACAAAGGTTTTAAATATGGTTGCTCTGTATATCCTCCAACTTTAAATGATTTAAAAATTTAATTGTATCTCAAACACATAAGCATAAATCTCTTTAAAACCACTTACAATCTAAGCATTTTTACATGACTTTTTACCTTTTCTAAGCTAAAAAATGTATTGGGGTATAAGAAATTTAAAATATTCATATCATAAATAAAGTGACCACAGGAAAAATTTATTCAAGTAAAAGTGTCATAAAAGAAAAATTTTAGTCAGTGATACACCTATTTAAAATTATATTTGAAAGAAAATTCACAATAACAGAGACTTTGGTGGTTCCTTCAAATTGGATGAGACAGATTAGCAATATTTTAAATTTTTCCCAGGCAATCTTGAATAAAATTTCTATTATCCTCTTTGGGAATCTGTGTGTGTGTGTGTGTGTGTGTGTGTGTGTGTGTGTGTGTGTGTGTGCGTGCGTGTGTGTGTGTTTCTTCTCAGTCAGAGGTAAAAGATTAGTGGCATGAGTGCGAAAAACTTGGTGTGCATGCTTATTCCAGAAAAGCATGTTTGTTGCAACATGGTCATTGGGTGTATAAAACCATCTGAGTTTCCCAGGTGACACCTTGTCAGATACGAAGGATAATTTTAAATTTAAGGATAATTTTAAATTTAAATTTCAAAAATACCAAAGCCAGTAAGTCAGAAGTGACTTCAGGAATAGTCAAGTTGTTTTTCAATAGGATTAAATAATTAAGCAAACTGTCAGTTTTATCCAGTTTCTTAAGGGCCTACACCTAAGAATCATAGACTTAGAATCAAAAGAAGAGATAGAACTCATTGAATCCTCTGTTCCACATTGTGGACGTTCTGTCAACCTGTGCTTAAGTATTTCCTCTAATGAGGCCCTTCCTACCTCGGGATTTTATATATTCAATTGTTGAAGTGCTCCATTCGTTATAAATATTTTTTCTTTCCACCAAGTCGAAATTTGCCTGTGGCTGTGATGCTTAGGTTTGCCTTCTAGAACAAAGATGAGCAGAGCATTTTTCTGCTGTCTGTGGCAATCCTTTAAATATTTGAAGGCAGTTAATCTGGCTTCTTTTAGTCCTCCATTTTCTAGTAAAGCAACCTCAGTGCTATCAGGAGGAGAAAGTTTCTTCATGGTTGTCCCCCTTTACATTGTCTACCATTTGTCAATGTCCCTATTTCATTGTAGCACTCAGTGATGTGTATATTACATAATGCACTAAATGTGGTTTGTCAGAACAATTTTGCAGACCTTATAGAGTCTTGTTTGGGTTTTTCCCTTTATTTTCATTGGGCTAAATGACATAAGTGTGTCATTAGAGTATTTTAAATTGTTCTGACATATTAATAAGTTTTGAATGATGTTAAATGAAGATTTACACCATATTTGCATATTAAATCTATTCTACATTATTCACCTTATACAAAGAGTTGTTGGAAATTGTTTTAAAATAAGTAATAGTTTAGATCATATTTTGTTTAGCTTTTTTGATTATTCAGATATAATTTCTAATGTCTTAAATAATGAAAAACTAACAATCATTAATCTGTATGTTTTCCTTAATTCAGTATCTGCCTTCTTGTCTTATCTTACTCCTGGTATCCTAAATTAGGAGATTTTTCTAAGGATGGAACACTATTATAAACACTATCCAAGAGAAATTCTCACGACAAAATTTAAAATAATACCATATAAATCCAAAGTTTTATTCCTATCGAGCCTATTACTGAATATTGCTATTAAGATTATAAAAAAATACACAAAGGATTCTTCAGAATGGATTTGATGTTTATGCCAGTAAATTAAATTCTACTGACTTTTCTTAAAAACAAAAGTAAATAATTTTATTATTGGTTTTCAGAGTCAGAAATGGAATTGTTCAACTACTTTATGTTTTAATATTTTTGAGATATTAAGAAACTATGGTAGTGCTTAAAATAATTTTTTTACCACTGAACAAAAAACTTGGTGATTGTCATATTGCTACTAATCTTATGCTTTCAGATGAATGCACTTATATTCTTACTGGCAAGGTGAAATCTTACATGAAATATAGGTGGCTCGGTATGTACTGGAGTGGATTATGTTGAATTACCACTTGGTTCTGTTCTGTTGGTCCTTTAATTCTGTTGTACCAATGCCATTCAAGCAAAGAAGCATTCAGATTTAAAGTATCCATTTTTGTTTGTGATGCCTTTATTTAAAATATGTAAAGATATGTTACAGTATTACTAATGCATATAGAGTTAGGAATAAAGATAAATAATATAATTTTGTTATATTAGATTCAGATTCTATCTGTGGAAATATTTAAAACTTCATGCATAGTACTTCTGGACCATTATCTTCTTGTCAGTATTGGAGAATTTAGTTTTTGTTAGATAAATCTCATTATAGATTAACCTGTCAACAAAATGTAATATAGAGAAGTCATGCTTTTACAAGTTAATTTACATTTTAAAGTAACTGAATTCAATTCTAAAACTTTAAAGAAAAACATATCTCTAGGATGGGATATAGTGAAGAATACATTATAGTTGTCAAGAATACAAGGTTATAGTATAAAGTATATAAATAAATATTCTATTATAGCTTTCAAAGCCTAAGGCAGATGTGAGGAGAAGGAGGTAGATAGTAGTGCACGGAGGCAATCTAGAAGATTCCCATTATGATCCCAGTTCTGCCACTGTTAGCAGAAGTGGCGTTAGATAAGGCTCAGTCTCTTTTGGTTGAAGCTTCCTCATCTTAAAAAGCAGGAACTGAACTTCAGTTATCTCTTATGTGCTTTCCAGTTCTAAAATGTTATCATTTACGGAAGGAGCCATAATGAGCCTACTAGCAATTTCCATCTGTTGCTATACTAGTTTGGCTTTTTATTTCCAATTCTCTTTCTAAATGTGTTTTGAAACTTTAGAAGAAATTTTCTCTGCATTTTGAAATATTGTTGGTCTTTTGCTGAGAAGCAAGTCGACTTTTAAAGTACAAAAACAGTATCTCTAAAGCAACGGCTAAATTATAACAAGTTGGAATCTCTTGAAATGATACAGCCCAATGACATCGCTGGTTTTTATTTTGTAATGATTTAACCTTCTTATAAACAAAATCAGCAAGAGCAGGTTTTTTGACAGGATTAATATATGAGGGTTTTCTTTTTTTAAATAATTTTGCTACTATTGTTTTTAGAGGATTAACTTTTAAAATGTTAGATTGCATATGATTGTGCAACAGTCCAGAAGAAAACCTGATATTGATTGGTGGTATTTTTTCCCCCCTCACATTTTCTTGATACAGAATAATGGTTGCATTTAGCCTTTTTCTTTCTCCATAGTTATACAACTTTTGAATATGAGCTCCAGAAATGACAGTATCGATCAGTATAATTTACAAATGATAAAAAGCACTTGTATAGGTACAGTGGGAGAAAAATAACCTTTGTACATGAAAAAAAAAGATACATAAGAGAAAACACAATTATGAAAAGTTCAAACTGTGGTATTTTTCTCTGTATATAAACAAAAGAATTTATTTATAATCTTGCTGAAAAATTTTAAAGTTAAATGACATTCCTTAGAAGCAAATATGTCCTAACCTATACACACACACATATACATAATACTGAATTTTAGTTGTGGAAATAGTCATAGCTTGCCCTCAAGATTTTACTCTCTTTGGTTGGTGTGATAATTTTAACTTTAAAATAAGTGTGTATTTGTTTGAAATTTACAAACTGCAGAAACGCTTATTAAAGACTCATTAGCATGTATTATGGGGGTTTCTTATTTTCTAACTAACATTTCAGTATTTTTAATTATGATAAACCATGTAACACAGACTCATGAATTTTGGGGCAGTGGAACTATTTCCTTTGACTCTTTTTTCTGCATATCATCAATTTGCTTTTTACTCATGTTTCTTCTACTGTCGCTGTAAGCTTACTTGTTGTTTTTTCTTTCCTTTTCTTCATGCTGTCGTTTAGAGCCCTACAGAGAGACAAGTATGGGAGTAAAGCTAAACATTGCATATCAAATGTAATTTTTTTTAGTTCACTTTTATTGCATCACATATAGATGATGTAGTTATTAAAAACAGTTCATCTCACAATTTAAAAACTAAAGAACCTATGAATCAACTTATATAAATATATGTTAATAGAGATTAGACGCTTTTGTTGTCTGATTCTTTTATTGTGTCACATAACATAGTTGTTAAGTCTCATGTAATGTTTGTGTGAGTTAAATTGTTTTTAAATTAAGCATTTATTTTTGCTAAGTAATTCATAAACTTTTAATTTTCATTACTACATTCCATCATACAAATACATGCAACATACCCAGTTTATTTAACTATGGCTGTTTTCAAGCCATACCCAATGCATTGACAACAGAAGTAATAAACACATGTTTCAATGCATCAGTTGCTCAACCATAACCATCAAGCCTACCATAGCAGCCTCTGCAGCAGCAATCACCCATCACATATGGCCCTTTAAAAAGCATTTACTTTTATTTTTTCTTAACATTGTGGATTTGTCTACAAGATATCTTATAACATGAAAATAAATCGCTTCACCCTATGTCTGTGATGGCTGCTTTTTTAATGTATTTAATGCATTGCTATTTTTGAAAACTGTGTTACTTGAATACAGAGTATGCATCAGAAGTCCATATAAAAATTGTTATATTTGGGATACTTTATTTAAACAAGTAATGAACTAGTTGTTTTGGTAAACATAACTGCATCACAGATATAGAATGAATGCTATATTTTCACAAGTTAGTGATGTTTTGACAAGTTTAATAGAATTCTTCAATTAATTGTTCTATAAAGAAATACCCTTTATTATTTAGCAGTATTTGTTAAATGTTTGTGTTTTATTTTCTTTTGTGTTTGCATTTGGAGAGATTTATGGAACTATTATAGATCCTTGGATTTCTGTTCGTTCAAGAAAATGCAAAAACCTTGAAGAAGCATGTGGTCAAATTTATTTCACTGCAGCTGTTTCTTCCCAGAATAAGACATTTAATCTCTTTTAAACCCAAAGTTTAATATGCACACAAAGTCATCACTCGTTATGAAATGGAACCTTTAATACTGACACTGTGTTTTTAGGAATCAGATCCCCCATGTCTTTACACAGTCTTTTGTAGAATTGTCTAATGACCCTAAACAATTACTAATGGATTAATATATAATAGTAACGAAAGTACTTATAGCAGAAAAAAAAATTGGAAAGTAAATCCAAATATTTTTTTTTGAAAATTCCTATGTGCAAATTACTTTGAAGTGCCATTTATTTGACTAGGCATTATTTCATGACTATATCATTCTGACAGATTTAACATAATCCTTTTGTGGTTTTGTGTGTAGGGATTATTTTCAATCTTATAAATTACGTATCAGATCATTAGAGCCTGCTCAAATCTTTTACTTTGACCAGTATATTCAGAGTACCACACATGAATTATGTTAATTTTATACCTATTTCAATTTTAAGACAGCACATAAAATTAAAGGTAATGAATTATTGGATTGACTTTGGTGTGTATAAATTGAAAGCTATGAATGACTACAGCAAAATTTTGCGTTTTTTTCCCTAAGTTATAACCAAATATGTTTCAAATACTGTCAAACAATGTTTGTGTGGAAATTGCAAATTTATAGGGTTTTTTTAAATTCTTTTAAAGATTTACTTTAAATACTTCTTTTCTGTTTATAAGATTTCTATCAATTGTCCAAGTATCATATATATATATATAGATATATATATATATAGATATGTACATACAGATTTAATATTTTTTTATTTCCAAACATTTTATACTTAATTAAAATTGCTAGCAATTTATACATACTTCATAGTCGGGTGTTTTCGCTTTTGTGTTTGTGTGTGTGTTCTATGGCCAATTGGATATAAATGTCATAATGTTTTGTAATCTTTTTCAGAGGGGCTTCTGAACAATGCCAGGGATACAAGTGTCATGGATACTCTACCACTGAATGGTAACCATGGCAATAGTTACAGCATTGCCAGTGGCGAATACTTGAGCAACTGTGTGCAAATCATAGACCGTGGCTATAACCATAACGAGACCGCCCTAGAGAAAAAGATTCTGAAGGAACTCACTTCCAACTATATCCCGTCTTACCTGAATAACCATGAGCGCTCCAGCGAACAGAACAGGAATCTGATGAACAAGCTGGTGAATAACCTGGGCAGTGGGAGTGAAGATGATGCCATTGTCCTGGATGATGCCACCTCCTTTAACCATGAGGAGAGTCTGGGCCTAGAACTAATTCATGAGGAATCTGATGCTCCTTTGCTGCCCCCAAGAGTTTACTCCACAGAGAACCACCAGCCACATCATTACACCAGAAGGCGGATCCCCCAAGACCACAGTGAGAGCTTTTTCCCTTTGCTAACCAACGAGCACACAGAAGATCTCCAGTCACCCCATAGGGACTCTCTCTACACCAGCATGCCGGCACTGGCTGGTGTGCCCGCCGCAGAGAGCGTTACCACCAGCACCCAGACCGAACCCCCACTGGCCAAATGTGGTGATGCCGAAGATGTTTACTACAAAAGCATGCCAAACCTAGGCTCCAGAAACCACATCCATCAGCTGCATACCTACTACCAGCTAGGCCGCGGTAGCAGTGACGGATTTATAGTTCCTCCAAACAAAGATGGGACCCCTCCAGAGGGGAGTTCAAAAGGACCTGCTCATTTGGTCACTAGCCTATAGAAGATGACAGAAATTTAAGCCAACAAAACTGCTAACACCTGGTTGACTGTTCTGAGTTGATATAAGCAGTGGTAATAATGTGTGTACTCCTAAATATGCTGTTCTTAAACGACAAACACAAACTCTCAGACTTCTTTTTTTTTTTTTTTTTAAACTGGGATTTTTTTAGGTCAGCCCAGGGGAGAAAGATCATTGCTGAAATTCCCCTGTGCCAGCTTCTTTCCTGTCCTCCCCCCCTCAGATGGAGACTTCATTATGTTAATGAACGAGATTTGAAGAAGATGGCGCTCATTGTGGCCTTGTTGAATTATGTTGTGTTTGTTCTAACATCTCTGATGCTCTGTTACTATAATTACAAGGACCTGATTTTTTAAAAGGCCAAAACATTTGTCTGAAAATTAGTAACAATGCTGCATCTAGATTGGAGTGCTGCACAAACATAAAATCAAAGCAAACTATCACATAGTGGTTTTTAGTCGCTCACAACCTGAATTCACCACAGCAGGAATAGCTGAGGTGTACAAAATAAAACAACAAAATCGATAATGAAATGGAGGGGAATTCTAGAATTATATGCTAAATGCATATTTTATGATTTGCTGTATTAACTGATGATAAAACTAATGGCAGAAAAAAATTTGAACAATTCTATGTAATGTACAGATACTAGCATTGCACATGTAGTCTGCTTTCTGTTCCTCCAGAATTTGAGTCCTGTTAATGTAGTGGAAAAAAAAGAAATTTTCTTTTTCTTTCGTGCTGGTCTTGCAAGTTTGTCTACCAGTAAGAGAGCAAAGTTTCCTTCCTTTCTTCTTTTTTTCTTCATTTTCTTTTCTTTCTTTCTTTCGTTCTTTTTTTTTTTTTTTTTTGCTTTTTTTCTTTAAAATTTCACATGGCAAAAAATAAATAAATAAATAAAATAAATAAATGAAGCTATCACTTTATAAGAATCATTTTCTAGTAATACAAACAAATTATTTTTTACAAAAAAAATAAAATAAATAAAATTAGACTTCCTTCCCTCACTATATATCTTTATTCAGTCAGAATATTTCCAAGAACATTTTTGCAATTAGAGCAGGAAGAACTTTTCTGTTTACAGTGCACATCTGTTGTAATGCAAAACATATTTGGCAAGCAGTTCATCACTAAGAGAGTAGCTATGATTCTAGAAGTAAAGAGGTGTCAATAGAACTAGTGGGGCTTCTGCATGTGAGAAATGGTATCCCATGGGTGTGAAAGTGCTGAATGCTCAGTCTGTTCCCCAAGTGGGCACCTGCACTACCAATTTTTAAAAGAAATTCACTCCCTCGTAGAAAGAATTGAAAGGTCAATTATTTTGAACTGATTTTTTTAAAAACTTCTGTTTATTAACAGGAAAATTTATTTATTTGACAGGATTTTAAGTAATGTAGGAATACAAGAGGTAAATTAGCAGCACATATAATTTTTTTTAAATTTATGATCCATTTTGTATGGTCTCAAAGTTGGATGACCTCATTACTAATATTTGTTGTAAAAGTGAAACTTGTTTGCCAACCAATAAACAACTGATTGAGATTTAGAAGATATTGTATTGATGTATGTACTATATGATTAATTATTCTTTTCATTTTTCTCGTCTTTCCTTCTGTTTTCAATATATAAACTTTGTTAATCCTCTATGGCCCAAATGAGCCATGCAAAAGAAATCAACCTGCCTAAACTAAGCACAAAATTATGCAGTTTTTGCAAAGTAATCCAGAAAAATGGGATGGGCATGTTTATGTTGGCTGAAATAAGATGCATAACGTACTTTCGAGCAGGTTAATATATAGGTTACTATGTGCTTATTTATAAGCCAACTGCAGTCACACGGCTTATTATAAGTAAGTCAGCTTCAGTCAGAGATTTCAGTATTGAACTGGGGAAGGGGGGATCATATTTTTTCCTCCTTTGTATGCTTCATTTTGATGTTGGATATTAAATTCACTCAATTGGCTAAAAATGCAAGAATAATGGCAAGGAGAATATCCATTTTATAAAGATGGTACTATAAGACAGTTTTTTGCTAATTCTTTGTTTTTCTATATATGGATAAAATGGGAGGGAAAAAGTCCTTTTAAAGAAACTTTCTAGATCTCCAATTACTGAAGAATCTTTACCAGCAGTGTCCAAGCATGGAGATCCTCCTAGGGCAAAGTTAGAATGCATTTGCCAAATTGTAATTTCTGTTATATTATGTGATATCTTGGCAATTTCTTTTTCTTTATTTTTTTCAAAAAAAAATTAAGCACCAGCCACTTATAAATGAATTTCTTAAGATTAGAAGTAGTTTAGAGAATAGCCAGTAATCTATACATACAGTTTTAAAATATATAACAAAAGAAAAAATTCTGTGCTGGGCCAGAGTACATCGTAACCTTAAATTAATATCACCTCAAAATATCTTATGCACCATTCCTTTTTAGTCATTTGACATAAGTATTTTTTAAGTCTACAGATTTTCTCTAAGTTGCAGGAGAACCACAAGCTTTAATAGTAATTAGGTTTTCTCATACCACATATGGCAATATTAGCACCTGAGAGGTGGTTAGCCTGTTACATAGAATACATTTGGTAATGAAAGAATCCTTTTTAGACATGTTTAAGGTAACTTCAGAAACACAAATGTAGTCTGTGGATTTATGAGTATTTATGCTAGTTTTGCCAATCCAACAGTAATCTATATGAAAGCAGCGCCATCACTAAGAAGCTAGTTTCACAGAATAATGGGGAAACTACCTCAATTCAGCTTGCTGATGCTGCCGATTCTGATTTTCTGCTATTGCTACCTCCCTGCCCATTATCTTTTGTGTTTCATTATATGGAAATTTGAAGCCAGTAGCTTCCCAGCTCTACATAGTCCAAATTGAAGAAAATCACTTGAATACGTAAACTGGTATGGAAAGCCATTCAGTCCTGTTAGTTCCTACCAAGTTCTTACATCAAGATGAAAGGGTGAGATTTTTGAACTCGCATACATCGTAATTGGTGTGCTTTCAGCAAGACTTAAGATTCCAAAGACTTTCGCATGAAGATATTATTCCCCCAAATTCAATGTGACTATAATGAAAACAAAACTGGATGAAAGTTAATTATGTATACATTTCAATAGAAATTTGTGTATGTCTAACATGTACTCATTTAGTCCTCTTTACACTAGCAAGGTTGAATTCCTGAACTTGAATCTTTTTTTTACATGCATTTCATGTGTAGCAACTGATAAATTAATAACTTTAAAATTTTCTCATTTTTTTGCCATTTTGGCTGTCTCTATATTTGCAATACCCTGTGACATTCATGACCTTATTTGCATATTTCTGATGTGTTTATCTGATTTTCCATTAAGAAGTAAATTTTCATCAAATATACTATACATACATAGCTCATTATTTGGATAGCTGGAAGTAAAAGTTATGCCAATGAAACAAATTATTATTGCCAAGTAAAATAATATTTTCATAACATTTTACACTTTTTTTCCCTCTTTGAGGTCTATTTCACCTGATACTTTATTAGGACACTAGCTAACAAACCTCATGTTATTTGATTCAGAAGCTGTTGGATTGTTGCACAGCTCACATTCCTAACTGATAATATTTATGGAGAAATATAAATTTTGTGAAGGAGAATAGGCTGGAATTCCAATTCAATTTTTGAACATCCCTCTTTGTTTTCACTCTATTACAATTAAAAATACTATACTTAAATAATAATTGCTATGCTAAAATAATCATAATGACAAAAAAGAACTGACATGAGGACAATCTTCTTGAGATAAAAATAGTGGGGAAAATGTAGTAATCAAATTCAGGTAATGGAAACCCCTTAACTTCCTGTAATACAAATTCACAATGACTTAAAATGTAGTTTATTATGTGTATTTTTAAATTCCCCATTAATCTAAAAATGTTGACATACTGATGAAAGGTCTTTAAAATTTCATCTTGTAATTTTTTAATATTAACTTGGTGTGACATGTTTTCATAATAATGGAGATAAGCATGTAAGTGAATTAGTAATTTTATAAAGAACCCATAGACATAAATTTAGGCAATATCTTCAGCTTTTCCCCTCATGCTTGTTCAGATCCATTGACTAATTTGCTTATTTTTTGAAAATGGCATTAAAAACTTCAAAGACTGACTTTTTGCTCAATTACAGAGACCAAAAGGGAGAGAAAAAATATTTCTTCTGGGTTGTCTAAGGATCAACTGCAAATTAATCAATCATCACCTCCTATTAGTGAAAGAATAATTCATTTTTAGAAGTTGTCCATCAGTAGTGTACCAAAGTGCTACTTCTTGGGGCATTCTTCAAAAAACACAAAACACTGCAGAATTACAATGCAGTCAATTAAAATTTGGAGAGAGAGAAATTTAGAGAGAGGAAAAAGAAAGAACCCAAACCCTAATTTGATTTTGAGCAATTCTGAAAATATTGACATGAATGTCCTTTCTTCTCTAACAAAAATATTTTAGATAAAATAACAATATGTATGATCTCCCCAGTATATTATAGTATCAAGGTATTAAGAATTAATTAGTTCACGTTTAGCAATTCATAACTCACCACATAGGTAATTCTTATGCATTTCTAAGTAATACTTTAAATATATCTCATGTTAGATTTTTGCACATCGGTAAATTAGGAACATGGAAGCACAAGAGTGAAGCAGCAGCTTTGCAAAATAGTTTATGGAAGAATTTTTGTGCAAATGAATTCTACATGAGACGCATCTTTGACCTTATAAAATAGATTCGGTGGATCCAAACTGTAAATTCAATTTTGTAATCAGCAAATAGGTCCTTATTAAAGCATCTGGAAAATATTGCTAAATATCTAAATTTTCACTTCTAGACTAGAAGAAGTTAAAGTGTTGGTAGCTGCTTCTTTCCTGCTTAGGCTGTAAGAGGAATCTTTCCTGTTTACTAATTAACCTGATTACTTCTTCTTTGCTTTAAAAGGGAAATCAATCTTCAACTTTCACCTATACACATACTTACATACTCCATTCCTTTTATTTCCAGCCTGCAAAGGAAATAGCTTGTTTACATTATTACAAACTTTGTGATTTTTGCAATGAAACAGGTAGTTATGGTTTTGCGTATTCTCATTTGAAATAAAATTATTGCTATTCCCTCTTTTAAAAGTTAAAAGTCAGCACTTCTTTAACATCTAGGATCTTTGTTATTATTCAAATGTCTTGATTTCAACTATGTTGTGATGTTTCTTTCTCTCTCTTAATATTACATCACGCAAATTTTTCTTAATTTGTGTCCCTTTAGAATATTTATTGCATTTAGGTAAATACAAACTATGATTTTTAAGAAGGCGTGTGAAAGGAGAACTTTGATTTGCATGAAGAAGTCTAGGAAGACTATACACGGAAAAAACCTCTATTGAGATAACAAAGTCTTTTCAATCACAATAGGAACAGGAGAGCAAAACCAAGTTGGCAAATTCATGGTGAGGTAACTGGACCTAAATTAGAGATACAGAGAAAAATTATCCAGGAAAAAAATAATAAAATTCCTTAGAGTGATAAAAATCTTAAACACTGTACCCAATGCTATTGATGTGTTGAAAAAAATTAAATTGAAGTTTACCATATTATAATTTTAACCTGCTGATTCCACAGAAAACACTAAAACACTTTTAACACTCTTTAGGCATTTCTTGTCTAAGTATTGTTGCCTCAATTCACCTTCACTCTCTAATCTGCTTACTCTGTTGTATGCCAACGCAGTTAATGCTACTAGTAGCTTTGTACCTTTTAAAGCTTTACTATGAATCTTTCTAATAAACATTAAATTAATATTAAATTGG